TAAATTAAATAATTCATCAATTAATTAATATATTAAACACTGATATTTACAAGATCATTTCTCGATACGAGTGACATAACACACCAATAAATTGGTTAATTAATTCATGGTAGGTAACAAATATGTCAAACATGTTCACGGAAAAGTGTAAAGTGGTTTGATTTTGAATTGGATAAATTGAATAAGACTATTCATAATGCGGATTATCAATAGTCGCCATACGTAATATATATGCAACAATTTGTTTAATGCATCAAATAACAAGTTGTCATATGTATGACACACAAGACGATTACTGATAGTTCTCACTATGAATAGCATTACTCGAATAAATTAGGCATATTAAAAGTAAGGTTAGACCAAGTCTACAAAAATATTAGCCTCACATTTGAATAATTTTGAGTTTATAACTGGATTGAACAACAACAAATTACTATTAAGTTGTGGATTTCATAAAAATGAAACTTATGTTAACAAGTATTTATATACCTACAAGTCCCAGCAATTGAATTCAGTGGTCATTGCTAGTGTGATATTTGATACAAGTTACCGTAAATGTTTTGTATATTTTGTTAAGGGAAAATTTCACAAGTAAGAGATTAAGTATAACATATTTCAAAATTAAGAAAAAGTTTTCAAATTTTAAAAATTAGATTTTTATTAAAATTTATTTATTATTAAAACAATTAATTAATTATTTTATTAATTAAATATATTTAAGTCATATATCCATACAAATTTTGGTCACAAATTAATAATTTAGTTAGTCACTACCACCACCACCACACATCACCCCATTCCACCTTACCATAACCAAAACCATGATCACTGTTAGATCGCCACAATATCGCCACCACCAGATCCAACGTATCGTCTATCATCATTAGATCCAAACATCAAGACCACGAGCACCACCACAGTCCCTTAAAAAAAAAAAATTAATAATTTTAAAAAAAATTAATTAATTAACTAATTAAATCCCCAAATATGCCACCAAGCACTTACCACCACTGCCTATATCATTTCCATCGTCACCTCCAACAAATTTTCATTTTTAACTTCAAAATTGTCGCTAACCCCACCTCACCACCGCCATCGCCATCGCCACCACCGACAATCTGCCACCACTACTCACCACCAACAATCGGCAGGAAAAAAAATAACCACACAACTCTTGCTAAAGCAAATTAGATTTGAATAGGAAGAAATCACCCAAAAAACCCGAAATCAACCCCCAATTTTTCTCCGGTATCAATGTCGCATCTAGCCACGGGCGGTGTTCGTGTTGCAGCAACAGCAACAATGCTGCTTTTCTCTAGTACTAGCTTCACGTCTGAGATGGAGCATCGTCGACAACGCTAATGGTGCGTCTTACTATTCTTTTGCTTCAGTCGACGATGATCTGAAAGCGACGGAGCATCTTCGCATGACTCGTCGCTTGGCCACCACCTTCCCGTGAATTTGCTGCAAGAAGCATTGCACATAGTGTGCGGTGTCTCGCTGTCGATCGACCTGTTGGTCGGAATAGAGAGATTTTGGTAGAGAGAGAGAGGGAGAAGATGGAGAGGGATAGAATGGATAGAAAATTAGGTTGGGGCGGTAGAATTAGGGGTGTGGTGGATGTTTAATTATCAAAATTTTATATATATTAATTAATAAAAAAAAATATGATTTTGAAAGACTAAACCTTGTATATGATTTATGAAATGGAATCTCTAAATGTATTAGTTTATGTAATTTCCACTTTCGTTAATTAAAAAAAAAAATTTCAATTTGATCTCCTTACAATGTGTATAGTGAAAGAAGGCCTTATTTTCTTTTTCTTTTTTTTTAAAAGGCCTTTATTTTATTTTTTTCGAATGCCTTAAATCTCCTTATCATAAAGACATTTTCTTCTTTAAAACGGCGTTTTAATAAACACAAAGTGTAATTAGATGAAACCTAGATGCATTTTTTACAACATTACTTTAAAAAGCGTAAAGCGTAAATAGATAACATCTGGATGCATATATAAAATTATGTCACTCTTGGGCTCTCATTCTCTTTGTTGATAAAGAGATTTTTTTTTTTAAAGAATATTTGATTGA